AGGCTGAAAGGGCGAGCATGTTTGGTGTAACGGGGATTCGAACCAGCGACCCACAGATTGCGAGTCGAGAGCCCTAACCACCTGACCATGCTTTATCAACAGAAAAAGACTCAAAGTTACACGAAACGTAATCAAAAGCATACAATTTTCATCACTGTTCAAAGCGTTAGAGAGATTTATCGATTTGTACAAAAATATTTTTTTAAAGTACAAATGATCAAGTCAAACTCTAATTATGCGCAGAGAGATTCATAAAATTTATGAAATTGTTCTTTTTACGGACAATATTTTTCATTGGGAGTTACCGTTTATATAAAATAAAATAAGTAACGAAGTTAGAAAAAAGAAATTAAAATTATTCTTCTTCTTACGACTAAATTTTTTATTGAAACTTTCGAAGTCTTTTTATTTCACAAAATAATTAATAAAATGATGAAATTAATAACCAAGTATTGCGTTGTTTTTTTTAGTATAGGATTTAGGACTTCTTTAGGTGAACTGCTATGAATACAACATTGTGAAACAATTTGGTTTATAAGTGTTACTAGATTATAGACTGTAGATTTACTAAAATTCTATATCATGTAGAGTAAATATTGCAACTTGGCCAAATGTATGCAACTAACTGTTGTGAATGAAAACATTTATCTTGCAAATCAGTACAGCTTCTAAAGATTGTTAACAAGTTAGTCTTATGTAAATTAGTTAAGTTAGATAGACGAAGGCGCTCTATGGGTTAAAGTGTTTTTTGTTTGCTTGTTGTTAAGAGCAAATTTACTCAAAGGGGCATCTGTGCTGAGCCCACTGAGTGTATAGAAACCAGATTTTTAGTCTTATAAGTCCTCATAGTTAGTGTTGAACCACCGGGGGTGTTTAAAGTGCAGATGAATAGGTTTTACTATTACCAACGTTTATAAAAACTCAATGGACTATTTCCTTCAGTGCTTTTCAAAAGCTCCTTTATTTTAGTAACTGATAGCCACTGAATGAAACTAAGTATTTTTTGTTTAAATTCTTCACTTATTTTAAATTTCTATGAACTTTCTTTAGAACTATCCAACATTCTATCACTTTAACGTAGATATTTCTATCTCTTACTATTTTCAATGGCTCAGGATCACAATAAAAAATAACTTGATCACATATTTTTATTGTGCAACAAAATAGACATGACTAGAACGCTAGAACTCAGGCATGGCGTAGATAGCCCATTATGCAAATTTGCGCTAAAACAAAGCAAACAATAAACTATGGAAATAAATTAACAATTGTTATGAGTTTCAATAGATTTATATAAAAAAATTTCAATGAAAGTTTTTACATTTTTGTGTTATAACTCAGACGTACACACACTCGCTGTGTAAAAACTTTTATTGATCTGAGTTATAACACAAAAATGTCGTACATACACTCGCAGTGTAAAAACTTTCATTGATCTGAGTTATAACACAAAAATGTCGTACATACACTCGCAATGTAAAAACTTTCATTGATCTGAGTTATAACACAAAAATGTCGTACACACACTCACAGTGAACGTTTTTTCTTAATATTATTTTCTTGAGATTATTTCAAAAAAAGCTTTCTTGCTACTTATGTCTTAATAACCATAAAAAAAAATTTCAGACTGGTTTCCTGGCTGGTCACAACATAATAACTACAACTCTCAGCCTAGTGATGATGGCTTGTCATCACAAGATTGTGTGGAAATGAGAGACCTCTACCGGTATCCAAGTAAAGGAGAGGGACAGACGGACAACTTCTACTGGAACGATCGAAACTGTGAAGTCAAAAATCCATTCATATGTCAACGACCCAAGCCAGGAGGTGAGTCAGTGTCTAATCTCTGTCTTCATTTTCACAATTATTGAAAAGGAATAGGCGTTTCTTTTTCTTTCTTTCTTTCTTTTTTTTTTGTAGAAAATGTTAACTGCAGAAAAACTATTTGCCAACTTTATTAGAAAGAATAATGCCTTGTCACTATGTTTTGTGACAAGCTGTTGACTGATCAAACGGTAGGTGTACGTGTACGGAAAGTGAAAATTCGAAGAAAACAGTACACAAGCTCAAAACACAAACAGTAGCGACCAAAGGTGGAAATTATATTTCCTAGTTTCTGTCAAAGATCTATTCTGGATTTGCTTGCACTGAATCCAAGGTTTTGTTGCTACGACTTCTCTGAGCGTAAAAAGATTTATGGGTACTGATAAGTCCTAACTCCTCCCTGGTAAAACTACGATAGTACAAACATGAAATTACGGAGGAACATCGTCTTTTAACGTTGTATCACTTATATTTACTTGCTTTTTTTTTCAGTATCAAAATATTCTCCACTTTTCTGCGATTTTTTACGTGGTTACAGATAAATTATTTTACTTTTATGTCTGTTGTGTTTTAATATAATTACTTTATTACTCTCGTTGTCATCGCACAAGTATAATCTACTGTTACATCTGTAGTATTCCAAATGTACTTTTATGTCTGTTGTGTTTTAATATAATTACTTTATTACTCTCGTTGTCATCGCACAAGTATAATCTACTGTTACATCTGTAGTATTCCAAATGTACTTTTATGTTTGTTGTGTTTTAATATAATTACTTTATTACTCTCGTTGCCATCGCACAAGTATAATCTACTGTTACATCTGTAGTATTCCAAATGTACTTTTATGTCTGTTGTGTTTTAATATAATTACTGTATTACTCTCGTTGCCATCGCACAAGTACAATCTACTGTTACATCTGTAGTATTCCAAATGTACTTTTATGTCTGTTGTGTTTTAATATAATTACTGTATTACTCTCGTTGCCATCACACAAGTATAATCTACTGTTACATCTGTAGTATTCCAAATGTACTTTTATGTCTGTTGTGTTTTAATATAATTACTTTATTACTCTCGTTGCCATCGCACAAGTATAATCTACTGTTACATCTGTAGTATTCCAAATGTACTTTTATGTCTGTTGTGTTTTAATATAATTACTGTATTACTCTCGTTGCCATCGCACAAGTATAATCTACTGTTACATCTGTAGTATTCCAAATGATCGCATGTCTTGGATTTACCGAAAACATTCAATGTGAAGTTAGGTTTAAGAACCCGTCAGTGATTCAATATTACGCCTTATTGTTGCCCAGGGTTCTGTTCCACGTGGCTTTCAGTATTTTGTACAAAACGACCGTAGCTACAAACATAAATAGCTTTTCTCTGTGTAACGAACTTTGTACAAATAGAGCAATGAACAAAGCACTGTCGATCTAGTAGTCGTCCCTCCTTAACTCCCATAGAACATTATTGCTAATGATAATACTATTTCAAATTAATATATTCATATAGCAAACTTGGAATGCTTGCAGATCGTGTCTGTCCGTATAAAAAATCGTAACTATGTCATTCTAGAAATATATAGGCTTGGCACGAAGTGTTTACATATCTGCGAGATCTTTTTTCCTTTAAAAAAAGAGGCGTGTCTCCATAAAACATCTTAAAAAAATAAGTCTTAGAAGTTGAAGATCGGGATAGTTCATTACAAGCACACGATCTGCAATAAAATATTTATCGCATTTGTTTTATTGTTAATTTATTCGTGACTTCCTGGTATGTGTGTGTGTGTGTGTCAAATTTTATGTCATAAACTCGAGCTAGAGTTTTGAAAAGCAACAATGTAACACTGGTAGAACAGAAACTCATATTAAACTACATCGGTTGCATTGTTTACAGTTAAATAAATAATATAGTGAACGAAAATTAATTCTAACGTCTACAAATGTGCATAGAGAGCAAACATACTTTTAATTTCAATTTCTCTAAACAAACATAATTGATAAACATAACTTTATCGTCTACAAAGGTACATAGTGAGTAAAAATACCATTAACTTTATTTTCTGTAAATAAATATAACTTCAAATTTATCTTTTATGACATATATTCTACTTGGAAGCTGCAAATATACAGAATGAGTAAACAATATCGTAAACTTTATTTTCTTTCAATGTACACAGCTAATAAACATAACTTTTACTTTATCGTCTACAAATATACATAATGAATAAACATATCCTGAACTTTATTTTCTTTCAATGTACATAACTAATAAAAATAACTTCTACCTTATCGTCTACAAATATACATAATGAGTAAACATATCCTGAACTTTATTTTCTTTCAATGTACATAACTAATAAAAATAACTTCTACCTTATCGTCTACAAATGTACAGAATGAGTAAACATATCCTGAACTTTATTTTATTTCAATGTACATAACTAATAAAAATAACTTCTACCTTATCGTCTACAAATATACATAATGAATAAACATATCCTGAACTTTATTTTCTTTCAATGTACATAACTAATAAAAATAACTTCTACCTTATCGTCTACAAACGTACAGAATGAGTAAACATATCCTGAACTTTATTTTATTTCAATATACATCACTGATGACCACAACTTCTACTTTATCGTCTACAAACGTACAGAATGAGTAAACACACTCTGAACTTTATTTTTTCAGTATACATAACTAATAACCACAACCTGTCAGTCAAAAAGGGAATAGATTTTACGTTGCTTCAATAATAGCGTTTTAGGTGTGTTGAACTTTGACTCTTATCCCTAACCCAGTTCCTTTAAACCACCATTTCCTACACCAGTAATGATAATCCTACCTTCAACCAATAACAAAGTACAAAATCTCATTAGAACCAATCAAAGGACTTTTTATAAAGTATTACGGGCAAGACAAGCACCAGAAGAATAATGAAGAAAATACTGATAAACATGATTCTTTCTACTTTCTTAGGTTGACACGTAAACAGGTTAAACTGATCTTATTTGGGCAGTAATGATTAGTAATATTTCTACGAAATTATGAATCCAAGGTAAATATAAAAAAATAAAATTCATTGTAGGATGAATAATATTTTTTGACTTTCTATGAAGTCGTCTTTATCGCATGATTCAGCGCCACCTATCGACTTTCAGTAGACTTATTTAAATAGAACTAGAAAATAGCTTTATGGGGGGCGTAAGAGAACCTTATGACTTATCACTCTTGTACCATTTTGTTTTCGGTATTGCTTTTCAATAAACTAGTCATATATTAATTAACTGCCATTGTCAAGTGTTGTATCTCCACTTTTTGTTTTTAGTAATTGGTGACTGTACGTGTTTATATCTCAACATCACGTAATGAGATCGTAAACACAATAGCAATTGGACAACATTTGTAGTGATCGTTTTTCAAAGCTAATTTTGAGAAAGGTGGTAATGGTGTAATGCGCTAATGACATTTATTTTTGGTTTTAGTACACATTTCCAGCCGTTTCGGTATTTAATTGTTGAGGCAAGAGAAGAACGAACGAAAATAGAATTCCCTGGCTGAGACTATTACGTGGCAAGTGTTAGAATTCCCTGGCTGAGACAATTACGAAGCAGGTGTTACAATTCCCTGGCTGAAACTATTACGCGGCAGGTGTTACAATTCTCTGGCTGAAACTATTACGCGGCAGGTGTTACAATTCTCTGGCTGAAACTATTACGTGGTAGGTGTTAGAATTATCTGGTTGAGACAATTCCGTGGCAAGTGTTAGAATTCCCTGGCTGAGACAATTACGAAGCAGGTGTTACAATTCCCTGGCTGAAACTATTACGTGGCAAGTGTTAGAATTCCCTGGCTGGGACTATTACGTGGTAGGTGTTAGAATTATCTGGTTGAGACAATTCCGTGGCAAGTGTTAGAATTCCCTGGCTGAGACAATTACGAAGCAGGTGTTACAATTCTCTGGCTGAAACTATTACGTGGCAAGTGTTAGAATTCCCTGGCTGGGACTATTACGTGGCAAGTGTTAGAATTATCTGATTGAGACAATTCCGTGGCAAGTGTTAGAATTCCCTGGCTGAAAGTATTACGCGGCAGGTGTTACAATTCCCTGGCTGAAACTATTACGTGGCAAGTGTTAGAATTCCCTGGCTGAGACTATGGCGTGGCAGGTGTTAGAATTCTATGGTTGAGACAATTACGTAGCAGGTGTTGTTATGCATTTTTATTTCGAGAACCAAACTTTATTTCCAAATACCATATTGTATGATATTATCCCACACAGAGTTTAACTCTATTATCAGCTGGTAAAATTACTGATGGTTAGAATATTCATATTCTTACTAACCCTAATTGTAACGAAAACCTCTAGTTACACAGGATAAAGATGAACATTTAAATTTCGCCATTTTTTATTATTTTTGATAATGCCTTTTATACACACACAGAAAACATAAATATATCAAATATTATAGATGACTTTAGATTTTAGAGAAATATAACACCCTATTCTATATTTTCTCGCGTTAATTACGTTAGTATTTAGAGAGAAGTTGCTACAGTTAATTCGTGTAAATAGGATTTCAAGTCTCTATACGTTCTACTAAAATGCATTTTATTTGTTTACTCAAAAACTGATAGTTCTATTTTGTAGATAATCTTTACAGTGAAGCTGTAAGCTTTTATTTATTAATAAATAAATATATTATCATACCTGGGTACTAGAGGTCATTAGTATTTGGCTTATTGTATTTGTTTAATCCCTACATTTTTTATTCGGCCCCTTAGAGTATTGAGCGAAACGCGTCGTCACCATGGATATGTTTGTTTGTTTGTTTTGAATTTCGCGCAAAGCTACACGAGGGCTATCTGTGTTAGCCGTCCCTAATTTAGCAGTGTAAGACTAGAGGGAAGGCAGCTAGTCATCACC